GAAACATGGAGATTTCTTAGAGTATGTTTTGTTCCTTAATAACTACAAATGATTACTCTCTCCACCTAGTGATTAACAATCATAAGTCTTTTCAGGGAGTGATTGCTTGACTGGATATAAGCAAAGACATGACAATCAGACATTTACTTTAAGATTCTTGTGACTGTTTCTTAGAATGGTGCAGTATCTTGGATCTCTTGCACTAGGCACAGAATAAATGCCAGTGATGCAGCTATACGTTTTAGCATTCTCCTTCAAGAAAAGTCACAAGATTTAGTCTGCATCTGATTTACCTTATCCCTCTCACAGGGTATTTGTTCCTGGTATTAAACTAAAGAAACTGAGGTGTAGTGTGAAATAGGTTAATAGTGGCTCTCTGTTTCCTACTACTCACAAGGTCATAGTTTCTGTGTCATGGTAATTACTAGGTTTGAAAAGTGCATTTCCAGCATTAGTAATAGTATCAGGATGTTTCCTCTTGGCCTTCCTCATGTCATGGTTGTGCTGATATACAAGGGGACTATTGGTGAAGGAATTGCTGCTTCTCTTCATATCCTTTCCAGAAATTCTATTACTTAGGACAGTAATTAGGAGATTAAATGGTAATTTTGCAGCTGGTGGAGCAGAGGGAGCACTGACTGAAGCATAGCCAAGGGTGTCCTTCATTCTCTTGTTTCTAAGACTCAAAAAAGTTCTGCCTTCCTGTGTCCCAAGAGGGTTCTAGGTCTCATTCTCTTAAATAAATACCTGTCCATCACTTAAATGCACAGAAGGAGCTAAGCCCTTAGAAAAAGTAAGGGAAAGTCTTGAGAGGAGGACATTGTGGCCTCTGGCTCAGATCTCTTGCCTGCCCTTTCGGCTGCATTTACAGTAAGATGTTTCCTGATTGTGTGATTGTCTCCTATTCCTTGCATCTACCGTGGCACAGACATACAAGAAGAAGATATAAGGTAGAGCATAGATGCTGAATTATGGGGTGATGAAAAGTTCAATACTTTACACAAAGCCTTTTTTCTCAATTCTGGCTGTAACAGAAAGCACCTGAGAATGGAATGAAAGGCATTAATAACTGTAGCCTTTGCCACTGCCTTCCCAGCATGCAGCAACTCTCAAATGTGTAGAAGAGGTCCATTGGTATATTTACCTAGTGTAGTGTGGCCAAAAAAAAAATCATGAATTTATATTACATCTCAGCTCAAAAGCCATTTTACCAGCACCCCACTGTTTGCTAGCAGTGCTTGGCTGAACAGAAAGTAAGTTGATGACTAGTCTAAATGCCCTTCTTCAGGCTGCTCTAGTTTTCCAAGGCAGTGTTGGAGGAATTCAATCACAACTTCATTGTGTTTCCAGTTGATAAAAAGTGCAGGCCAAAAGCGGCTGTAATAAACCTCTTGCTGTTAGTCAAACGATCAAGGGATACTCTAATGTCCCCTCCTTCTGAAAGCCTCTTGGCTAGGCAAGATATGCAGCCACATGTGCGAATGTAAGGCCAGAACGATAATACACAGTATTCACAAGCTCTGGTTTCAATTGAATCTTGGCTGGGCTTTTCTGTTTACTACTGTATCCTAGTCTTTGGGATGGAATATTAGCATTTATCAGTATAGTGTGCTAAAATCCAGTGAGAATAAAACTAGAGAAGTGGCATGGACCATGCATTATTGTTATCCTTCGCAGAGCTCCACTTGCTTTTATTGAGTGCTTCCAGTTTGCTTATGAAGAGAAATGTTCTATCAGAGTGGTTGTTGGCAAAAGAAATGTGCTCAGACACTTTATCAGAAAATCCTACTACTTACATCCTTTTCTAACGATGGCAGGCAGCATTTCTTCATTCTGTGTATAGCTGTATACTTCAAGTCTAACCCCCACAGTCCATATGTCTGTTTCCCAAGCACAGTACGGAATGTTGCCGTTGGCACATACAATCAGGTTTTCATTTCTGAAGCAGTGCGTGTTAAAAACCCAGGTGTGTTTGGCAACAAAAACTAGTGCCTCTGTGGTGTGGAGGTAAAATCGGCTCTGGGAGAAGGATTTTCCTGCACTAGAGCATGAAAACACAGAGGGTGACAGATGAAGCATTTGCAGTAAAATTGCTAAGAAGTGCTTTGGCTACATGGGGTAGAGGAATAGCTCGATTAAGATGATTGTTTTCTGCAAGTTAATGGCAGCAGTTTTGAAATAAAACCTCTTCATTTTGGCATCTTGAAATTTATACTTGACCTGGACTTGTTTGGCCGCAGAGCTGCTGCAGCATTAAGCTATAGCTGGAGGAAATCCTGAATCCAATTACATTTTCTGCCTAATGGGTCATAATTTATGCTATGAAGACGGCAGTGATGTTGCTGGGGGAAAAGGGTATTGGGCATGCTTGGATATGCATGCTGAAAGGCTGATTATAAGTGAACATGAAAATGGGGAGGTGTGCTTTCCTTTCTCACTTGGTTAGTACCAATAAGTGGTCATACTGGATTATTCACAAGACAGGCTGGAAACCTTCGCTTTCATCATGGCTGTCTAACTTGCTTTGCTGTGATTGTTGATTCTCCCGTTACTGTACCAAAACAGGGTTGTTTTTCAGCATCTTTGACTTCTTACTTTCAGTTTCTGGTGGAACTTCCAAAATGGTGTGTTCCTTCTCCTTTGTGCGTTTAATGCCAACTGGTTTCACATTTTTAAATAAAGGAAGAAAAAATACAGGGTTTGGTGGTTTTGGGTTTTTGTTGGTTTTTTTGGGTTTTGGTTTTTTTTTTCAGTAGTGGGACTCCAAATGTAGGCTTCTAAGCTGTGCATAGTTATTGAGGTAGAAGACTTGCCCATAGTTGCTCAAGAGAGGTTGGTTAGTCTTGAAAGCCCAACTTTAACTTTAGATAACACATACACAGGTTCAAAAACTGAACTTTGGACTTCTGTTGTTGGTGTTGGCCTTTCTTTTTGTTGTTTTCTTTTTAAGTTCTGAGTGAAGGTGAGAAGGCTTTTACAGCAGCAGTTATTGGAGCCTCTGAACTTTAACAAGCGTGTAACTGTTCATCTAGGAGCTCTAAATGTTACTTAATAAATTGCTCTCGTTTGGATGGGACTAAGGATTTTTGGTTCGGTAAATTTAATTTCTAACCAAGAGGTATCACTCACGTGCTGAAGATAAGATCATGAAAGACAGGTTGACTGATAATGTGAAAACACTGTAAAAAGGTCCCATCATTAAAAAATGCCTGTTTTTTGCTGATGCCCCCAGCTTCTGGAGTGTTCATACTGGAAACTACTGTCATCCTGGAGTATTTGCATCACTGCACGTTGCTGCAGCTGCTGCCCAAAGACATTAATTGAGTTTGTAATGTTGTCTATGCTCCAGTCTATTCCATTGTAATGCAGAAGGAGAAATGTTTTAGATAGTATTACAAAGCAGAAATCTGGTCTGGAGGAACTTGGAGGTCTGGATTTGAGACATTTAAGATCTCTTTGTAGTACCTTTGCACTCATTCCATACAGCAGAAACCTTCCCAGGAGGAGCACCCCAGAACATGATTCTTAATTTTTTTAATTAAGAATTAAATTTAAATTAAATTAACATTTAGATATTGGAACGATTTGTGGAAAAACAACAAAACTGAGCCTACGAAAGTAGGCTATATTGTCCTCGCTGCACTGAATGTGGTAAACCTTTAGCCTTTTATTGTATTTGGCTCTTTGTCCATGCGGTTCTGTTTGGGATTGAGCTGTAATAAAGTAGTATTGCTGAGAGAAACAAGATTACTCAGAAATAAAACAGGCTGAATGCAGGACCTATAAGGGCAAAATGCACTTAATTGAAAAGTACAAGGAAGGAGAGAATAACCTCAGACAAGGGGTGTGAGTTAAATAAAAGATGTCCAAAGGGAGACTGAAAATGTTGGAGAATCATTTTGATTTCTTTCAGCAACAGTATCATCAAATATTCTTTCCAGAATTATTACCTAACTTGGATTATTTTTAAATGATTCCTTTGAGGCTGTGCTGAATTCGGATGTAGGGAGCACAGAAGGTACGGTATCTTTCACTGACTCCCTCAGTTCCAGACAAGCATGTAACAGATGCTTTGCTCAGGTCCATGGAACATCTGCTCTATCTCTGCTGCCAGAACTCCTTCACTCTCCTATTGAAAAAGAAAATTAAATTAACAAAAAAAAACCCATTAAGAAAACAACAACTAAAAAAGTTAACATAAAAGTAAATGCACTGACAATATTCCATGGGAAGACATTGAAAGAAACCAAAGTATTGCTGATATTTTAATCTCTACAGTATGAGGGAGTTAGGTGAAATGTGCTGGGATGAGCTTGGAAGCAAGTCTCAGCCAGTACTGTGAAGGCAGAAATCACAAACTGTCAACAGCCCTTGTCAGTATATACTGGAGGAAATTTCCTTCCTAATCCAGGTATGGTGTGTCAGCCATAAACATCTCCAATTTGCTGGCTGTTTGGACTAGGTTTCTGACTGGAAGATCAGAGTAGGAGATCAAGGAAGATCAAGTACCCAGGGTATGCCTGTGACTTCCACTCTGCATTTGTGATGGTAGCTGGGGCTTGTATGAATACAGTGTCATATAGAGCAACAAGTCTTCAAAGCAAAGATCATTTTTATTTGCTGCAAGGACAGGCCTTTGAGCCAGTTCCAGTTTGAATTCAGAGGAGTCCTTACAGGCTGCTTGATGTTCTTGTGTGCACACCAAGTGCACTCCCTAGTATTACAGTGCGGTAGAGATATGAATGTAAACCAGCCCTCTCTGTATCATTCCATGTGGTTTTATAAGGAGCTGGAAGTAACTCTGAATGTCAGTAACTTCTTTTGGGTCCTCAGGGGTCCGCAGCACTGTAAATTCACTTATGAAGCCAAGAGTGCTCCACCCTGTGCTCTTCCACTGGATGAGTAAAGGAGACATGGGGATTGGAAGGCTGGCATAGATTTTTTTGCTTGAGGCCACTCCTGTTGTCTAACCATCTTCTGCATGCTCATTTCTTTTCCAGCCTCTCTACAAGTGGACATTGTTCCAAGCCAGGGGGAGATCAGCGTTGGAGAATCAAAGTTCTTCTTATGCCAAGGTGAGTAATGGCTTATGTCATCAGTTATCTCTATCTGGGATTGCTAGGAAAGTCAATCAATGTATTAATTCTGGGTTAAAAGCTCCGTGCCAGGTGTAGCTGCAATATCTCTTGCTCTTTCTTTCTCATTTGTCCTTATAGTTTATAAGGCTGAGAGGAAAATGCAACACATGCTGTTTACTGGAAACAGTAAATGCATTCTCCCTTGAGAGCTGGCAACAGAAAGCAGCTCCAGCAAGCAGATTTTAAAATGAAAAAAACAGGTACTGAAATGTCCTTAAGCTGAGCAGAAACCACAACAGTGGCACCTTGCGTTATTCTACAGCTCTTTGATCCTTGGAATCTAAAATAAGCCTGTTGTTTTTCCAATTTATTTCTCTAATCAACTGCTTAACAGCAGTAATGAAAGTGCTAGGTGACTTGAGAATGGTTACCTCTGCAACTAAGGATTTTAATGCTGCTTAAAACCTGCATTTCTTATGACACCATTTACTGTTTGTTCAGGCCACCAACTGCCCCAGGCTGTTTTCCTCTGCAATGTGGTGCAGTGCTGACCTCATCTATGTGCCCCAAAGCAGGTCCTACAATTTTAGGGCATTTTCCATATTAGCATCCACATGTCCTTGTGAGAAGTTCTCCTGAAAACAGCTGGTCTGGTTTCTAATGGGAGAAATGTGTATGTTGGAGCACTGATATGATAGCATCCTGAAGCATGACATAGAGCAATTTGGTGCTATCGTGAGCTCTGGGAGCCAGGGCTCAAAATGCATTAGAGAGCCACACTTCCTCAGGAGCATACTAACTAGGACGAGTAATGAGGGCATCTGATCCAGGAGTGCTTAACTGCAAAGTAATTTATTAATGCCAATGCTTTAAAAATTAAAGTATACTCAGACCAAGTGCTGTTGTGATGATATTTGCATTCAGAAACTGGGGGATCATTAAAGTCCCTCCAATAATAGGAGTTTGTCCCAAATAACAAAGCCACACTCGGGAATGCAGAGATTGTGAGCAGCAAGAAAGAGACAGCCTGGAACCACTTACTAACAATTCTGATTCACACTGGATGCAGCAGGAGGTTGAAGCTCATCAGTGCCAGAACTGCTGCTACAGTTCAGTGTCACATTTTGGTATGCAAAGTAGCTCAGCCTGCACATACAGGTATTGATTAAAAACATGGTGGAGCTGAAGCAGGAAGAGATTTTAACTTTTCGGGCTGATCTGCATAGTGGAGGGACTGGGATATGGGATCTCAGGATGCATAGAAGGCCATTCTGGGCTAAAATGAGTGTACCCCTTTAGATTATAAAACCAACCTAATATCGTTTTTGCAGGACAGCAGCTGACCATTCACAGTGCTGTGAGAGAGAATTTTCTTTGCTTGCTTCTCAGGTACCAGAAGCCCTTCCCCTGGGTCAGTCTTCTGCATAGTGCTACTGGTTGTGTTTAATTCTCCCTCTGTGCAGCTTTGTTGGGAACTCATTTCAATTTGCTCTGTTTTCTTTTATTGTCCCTAGTGGCAGGGGAGGCCAAATACAAAGACATTTCCTGGTTTTCCCCTAATGGTGAGAAGCTGACGCCGAACCAACAGCGCATCTCAGTGGTGCGAAATGATGACTTCTCCTCCACCCTCACCATCTACAACGCCAACATTGATGATGCTGGCATCTATAAATGCGTTGTCAGTAGCATGGAGGAGGGAGACTCCGAGGCCACCGTCAATGTGAAAATTTTCCGTAAGAGACCAGCTTCGAGGCTGTTTTCTGGTCTACCTTGCACATGTATGAGGCAAGATTAGGGAGGAGACCATTGTACCATACTAGCAAAGGCTGCTTTTAAAAGGGAAGAAGGAGGGTGAAAATAAAGGGGGTGTTAAGAAGATGCAGCCTTTTGCTTTCTTGGTTTTGAGGGGTAAGTGGGAATTAGGATATGAGTGACAGACATACTATGAGAAAAGACTAGTGTTCAGTAAAGAGGATCACACATTCAGAAGGGTAATAATAAGCTATCAGCATGTTGTCCAGCAAAGCTGTGACAGCAGCTCCTCCCCTTTCTGCCAGAAAGCTGGGCAATTCCAAGTTCACGTTTTCTCTTTGCAGTGTGGACAAATAGGTGAGCTAGGTAGAATATTGATTTGGCCCACTGATATGCCCAGGAGGCAGAGCTGGAAAATGGGGTTCCTGTGATGTGTTGCAGTGCATTGAGTCAGGCACACCTTTATCCTTTCCTGGGAACAAGAAGATTCCTACAGAACATGTCCTCTGGGATATTTTTGCTTTCCTCAGGCTTGAGTCAGGAGCACATCCTGAGGTGTATGAAGAAATCTTCAGTGACTTTCTCCTTCCGTTGTTTTCAGAAAAGCTGATGTTCAAGAATGCTCCCACTCCTCAGGAATTCAAGGAAGGAGATGATGCTGTGATTGTGTGTGATGTGGTCAGCTCACTGCCTCCTACCATCATCTGGAAGCACAAAGGCAGGGATGTTATCCTAAAAAAAGATGGTAAGGCACAAGAGGTGTCTCAGTGCTTGTCCATCCAGGGGTCAAATGTCCATCTCCCATCAGGGCTCAAATCAGGCTCATATGAGAGATTCAGGAGAACAAAATGGTGGCAGTCACGAGGGAGGACACAAGCAATTTGTACCTGATGCTAGGTCTTAGGGTGTGAATTTATTATTCCAGGTGCTGTGGTTTGGCAATGGCAGGGCAATAATGTTCCCACAGAAAAGGCCATCATGCTTTGATGCTGGAATGTTAGGCAAAGGAATGCTAGATAAAGATTGTCAGATAAAAGAAATGCCATCAGACAGGAAAGCTACATGTTGTGACACTCTCTAGTCTTCCTAAGAAAAAGAGGCTAAAAACTCCTTGCAAGAAACTTTGCCTTTCATTCAAAATGCTGCAGACTATCACGCTCAGAGGGGCATTTTGCTGGTAGAAAGTCTTCAGAGCCCTGACTTCAGTTCAGCATTGGTGCCTCAGCTGTGTTTCCCATGTCTACTTGTTGCAGGCAACTACTTACTACTACAGTAAGATGAACTCTGCCACCCTGGGGCAAGAGGGCCAAGTTTCAAATTGCTTGTTGTCTGATACCGATTAAATGTAAATGTGTTTGTGTGTGTGTGTGTTACTCTATGTGTACTTAGGGTATAAAGCACCAGAGCAGTTTGCAAACATCTGGTTTCTTTCTTGGCAATGTCAGATCCAGCTACAGCAGTGTCACCATTAAACAATGGGAAGGGAAGTTACATTACCCTAAGCCTTGTCTCAACCTAGAAAGGGCAAGGAGAGGAGAAGAACCTGTTGCCTGCAGTGAGCTTCCCTGAGGATCCTTGGATGAACCTTCCTTTTGTCTTTTCTAGTTCGATTTATAGTCCTGTCCAACAACTACCTGCAGATCCGGGGAATCAAGAAAACGGATGAAGGGACATACCGCTGTGAGGGCCGGATCTTGGCTCGTGGGGAGATCAACTTCAAAGATATTCAGGTCATCGTAAATGGTGAGCATCTTAGAGTGAGGCTGATACGGGAACAGCGTATGTAGCACATGCACTCCAGGCTGCTGATGCAAATGTTACTTTAGATTCACATTCACAATTTACCATCAGCTTACTGATCTTTCTTTGCTGTGTCAAGTAAAACTGTCCATGAAATTGACTTAGTGTTTACCAGATGTTTACAGGAAACTACCATGTCAAGAGAAACCTGAAGTGTTTTATAACTTTCAGAGAGGTGTTGCTCTTCTTGGGGCTCACAAGTAGTTTTGTCTGCAATGCTGATGTTTTGTGCATCTCCCCACCCCCTGCCCTTCCTTCCTTCTGCTGATTGCTTTGGAGAGCTCATGCATCAAAGCTGTTGATTGAAACCTGCGGGTGATGGCATAAGGGTTTGAATTACTAGTGAGATGTGTGTGTGTGTGCGTGTATTGCAGAGATTTACAGTGAGCCTTCCAGGGCTTGCTCTTACATCTTCCTTCCTTTCTAACTTGAATATGGATTCCTTCTCTTCCAGTACCTCCGTCTGTGCGTGCCAGGCAGAGCACTATAAATGCCACTGCCAACCTCAGCCAGTCTGTCACCTTAGCATGTGATGCTGATGGCTTTCCTGAGCCAACCATGACGTGGACAAAGTAAGATGCTGTGTGCAATGTCCTGATTGTGTGTGAGTATGGATGTTTTCACTAAGGCTTGGAAAACCAGGCAGAAGGGAAAGCAACATTTTAAGTGGAATAATATTAATTCATTTTTCTCATAAGGGAAAGAATGGCCTCCTAACAGAATTGCAGTTAACTTCTGTTTTGGGTTAACCCCAACAGGCACACAGCCACTCACTACATGATGAGTAGGGATGAGGAAAAGAATCTGAAGGGTAAAATCCAAAAAATCATTGGTTGAGATAAAGACAGTTTGATAGAGATAAAGCAAACTCTGTGCATGGAAGCAATGCAAAATAAGGAATTCATTCATTGCTTCCCATTTGCAGGTAGGTGTTTAGCCAGGTCAGCTGTCCCAGCTCCTAACTTCTTGTGCACCCACAGCCTACTTGCTAGAAGGGCAGCATGAGAAACAAAAAACCCTTTGACACTGTGTGTATTTTAGCAATAGCTGAAACATCATTGTGTTATCAGCGCTGGTTTGGTCACAAACCCAAAACAGCACCATATGAGCTACAATGAAGAAAATTAACACTGTCCCAGCCAAAACCAGTACAGATTGCTGGAAAAACAAGAATAACAGTAAAAATAACAATTTTTCACTGTCCCATTGCATCCCTTGTCAAGCTGAAAATAGAGATGAAGCTTCATGTTGGTCAGAGCTGTCCCATGGGTCAGATTATTATCATCTGTTGCATGATGGGGAAGCTTAGGCAAAAGCGGATGCTGTAATTTGCATTTGTTATGCCAGGAGATCACATTTTTCTCTTTGTTTCATCATGTCTAAACTTCACTGTCAGGCAATGATGCAGACTTGAGGTATGCTTTTGCTGGAGGTTCAGCTGCTGAGAGCCCTGAGGCAGCAGGGTTTAGGAATAGATAAAGCCAGTGTGCTTTTGTGCTCTGCAGGGATGGAGAGCCAATAGAAGAGGCCGATGATGAAGAGAAATACAGTTTTAATTATGATGGGTCTGAGCTCATCATCAAAAAGGTGGATAAGAGCGATGAAGCGGAGTACATCTGTATTGCTGAGAACAAGGCTGGCGAGCAAGATGCCACCATTCATCTCAAAGTCTTTGGTAAATATGCTTTTACTGTTCCTTCCTTCCCAATCCAGTCAGCTATTGGTAGCTCACTAGTGCAAACTGGAAGTAACTGCTTATCCCAGTTAATGCCTTAAGCTGCTGCTTTCCCAAGTAGTACTGTGCACTGCTGCCATCATGCCAGGCAAAATACATTCTCTGCATTCTGAAATAGATGCCAGCTCCATTCTGCTTGCTCTCTGATAAAAGAAATTCAGTCCTGTGCAGGGGGAGGTGTGAGATTGACGTACTACTTTGAAATATCTTCCAGGCCCAGAGGGCTGAATCCTAATCCACCCAAAGCTGCTATTAAAAGGGCTTTAGCACTTCAGTGGGACTTGCTATAACCTGGACAAGTAGGTGAACTCCACCCCACCACTGTGTTGCTTTTTCTTTTCAGCAAAACCCAAAATCACCTATGTGGAGAATAAAACAGCCATGGAGCTGGAGGACCAGATTACACTGACTTGTGAGGCATCTGGGGACCCAATCCCTTCTATCACTTGGAGAACTTCCACCCGGAACATCAGCAATGAAGAGAAGGTATAACCCTTCCCAAAACCATGATCTCCTTTGCTGGGATCAGTGCAGCTTGTATCTGCCTGCCTCTGCTGATCCAGAATGCATGACAGCTGCACGCAGATGCACATGCAAATCATCATGATTCCCCTCTCTGTAGTGAGAACGCTTGTGATACTACACAGACTATCTGCTAAAGGGTCAGCTCCACAGCCAAAGTAATGCCATAGGTGTCCTTTTGTAGAAGGACTCATCTCAGTTTATAACAACTGAGAATATG